ACAACCAACGCCCTTCCAACAATACAGGCCTGGACTTCTGGGGGCTTTATGCACCCGGATATAAAACTGAATGAGATCTGCCCTCTGTCAGGCGCCACCACGCAAGCCTGGAAGCCTCCCTGTGGGCTTTATCGAAAAACCAGGAAATATGGGAGGAGGGGTAAGTGTTCAAGGCAAACAGGGACACATAGCTTTCAACTTGGGGGCTGCCAAGCCCAGGGGCAAGAGCAAGGTCATTGAGTTCTACACCAAGGTCTGTTCACCAGATATTTTAGAGCTGAAATTGTACTGCTGCAAACCATGCAGTATTTGGAGTATCAAGTATCCATGTATATCGATGCTGTATTTTTAAAGTGAACAAAATAGCCACTGCTCTTGAAGACCCTCCTCAAGCTGACCGTCCAGGGTGGGCCTAGGATGGGAGCAGGACAGTGAAGGGGGGGCCTCAGCACCCCACACAAGCACCATTTGAGGGGGGGGGATGCTCCAAAGAGCAGCCTTCAGCCTGGTAAGCCGCAACCTGTGCCCCGCGTCACAGACAATAGCTAAGTTTAAATCTGTAAAAGTATAATAAAAACACAGGTGCCAACGTAAAAGGTTGTCTTTTCATAACGTGCTGCAAGGCCTCTTCTACAGCACGAGACCACCCTGTTCCCACCTGGGAAGGAGCCGCCATCTAGCCCACGGGGAATGGTTGGTGTCCTCAAGAGATCCAACCACCTCTCTGGCAAAGCTGCGTGATATTTCTGGGTTGTGTTTTTTAAAACACAGACAGACACACTCACACACACCAAATTGACCTTGGAGTATTTTTCTGGCAAGGACATGCCCACATGTTTTTGTTAATAAATCATTATCATCACTCTGGTCAGTCAGATGGGCCCTATGAATGTAAATTCGAAGAAGACCATTATGATGGGGGGTGAGGTGCGGAGGTGAGGGGGACAGGCAAGAATAGTCTGTCACACGGTGCCAGCTCTGGCTTCCCCAGCGGCTGGGAGCTTTCATTCACAGGCCTGGCTTTGCACGCATGCAGCTAGAGGGGCAAACTGTTGGAAATGGGTTGTTTCCGAAGCAGGCACTCCACAGCCAACTTATCACGCCTTCTCAATCCAGCTAAAGCCACCCTAGAAGCATCAGAAGTAAAACTTCTTACTTTAGGGTGAGAAACTACAGTGTCTGAATTTACAACTGCTCCTTCGAACCCATTTAAATAACCAAGCGCTTGCTCCTTCCCTACAGATCAGATACACCAGTGACCAAGGCGGTGCAGAGAACTGGGGGGACCACTGCACGCTTCAAAACTCTCAGCCCCACCAAGAAACCCTCCACTGTGAGAAGACACACACCCCTTCCACCCGAAAGCTACAGCGAAGGAGCCCTTCCCTTTGTAGACAGCACATGCTGCAGGCTGTGAGTATGCTGCACATTTTAATTTGTGAATGATCATGGCAAGCGTGCTTCTGCCCCTCCATGCACCCAGCACCTTGTCATTCTCAAATGGAGGCACATGAGTAAGTACCCACTTTGTGTTTTGTACATTTGACCCAGGTAATGTTCTTCATTCTCTCATTTGGCAAAAGCAGGTCCCCAGCCCCAACAATTAAAAGTCTGTAGCTCTGCCCGGCACTTTGAATCTTAATTCATATACCCAGCTCGATCGTTTCCACCTCCAAATCATTACAGAATGCTAGCGGTGTCTAATATATAATATATCAGTTCTCAAGTTAACTTGTTGCTTTACTCAGAATCATGATTTCCTATTTCTTTCACTTTAGGTAACCTAAGACTATGTATATGAGGAGCAAACTTTTTTTTTTTTTGCGGTGGGGGAAGGGGGGGGGTAAGTACATTTGCAAAACAGAAAAGTAAGTAGCTGCCAAAATAGTAACAGCCACAGATTTCATGAAAAGTGATATAAAAATAAGTATGTTTAAATATGTATATACAATGACTGCTTAACTAGTGTTTTGCAAAATGTCTGGCTAAATAGAAAAGTTCCCTTTCTCCGTAATAATTGATAAATGCATTTAGCGGCCCAGGCATGCAAAGTACGGTTGAGCTTTGAGGCGTTTGTCCAGTTCATGTGGATCCCCCCCAGAAGTCTTTTGTCCAGAGAACTTAAGAAAAAGCAATGTTTGGGCTCAAATTACAGTTTCCTCAATTTTGCACTTTGTTTTATTAGTACAAACCTGACAGTGCATTTTCTAGTCTAAATGTGAGAGCTCACAGATGAAAATAACAGAATTAAAATGCTTTTTACAGTGTCTCCTTTGCTGATATCACTCCCAAAATCTTTCAATCCTCCAGACTGAGCACCACGTCAAGCCAAGTCTGGACTTTTCAAACTTCGTTTCAAAGGAAAGCTCCTGACGGCAGCTGGTTGATCTTGGAGTTGAGTTAGAAAAGGGCATCTCTCCCCTCTTCCAGGGGAACCTCGTGTCCGCCCACCTCCTAACAGGCCGTGGCAGTCACAGGTGCCTTGAGCTGCTGAACTGTGGACGCCAGCTTCTCACGTCCAGTCACTCAGGGCTTCCCTTTCTTAGTGGTGCTCTCTAAATCTCCTTGGGAAAATTGTCAGCAACAAACTGACTACCTGCTCAAAACCAGTCAGAATTTGCTCTTCACGGTTTTAGAAGTTTTTCACGAATCTTTTTTATCCTATCCAAAATACAGCTCCATCTTCATCGTCGATAGCTAGAGTTCTCTGGGGCAGAAACCTGGTACTGTATAAAATTTTTCTTCAACTCTGTTAAGTAATATTATGCTAAGAAGTTTCAAGCTCCCAGTTATCTCTAACCAACGGCTATTTTGTCGTTTCTTTTCCCCAACAAGCCCTTCAAAGACAAATCCAAAATCTTCCCATAGCCATAGGAGGTACCGAGATTAAAGCAGCCATTAAATATAAAATGAAGTAAAAGAGATCATCGACGCCTTGACTAAATCTCCAGGATCTTGAGTTTTACTTAGAAGTCAAAGCATGTATCAAGATGAAGAGCATGCATTATTTAATAGTTCATACCTTAGGATGCATTTTATTTTCCTGACTGCTTCCCCAAGTCTGCAACCTGAATGGTTGCTCCTAAAGTAGCTTATTACATACCTTTAATAATTTTCAGGGGCTTTTGCTTTCACAGCCCAATCTGTTTTCCAGCCCTATGTACACTTCACGGAGAGAAATGGACGAATCCCCCCCCTCTTTTTTTTTTAACTGTTTCTTTCAGGCCATTTCACAGACATGGATGGGTGGGAGATGGGGAAGTCATTGTACTCGTATTTAAAACCCTGTGTTATGCAGTGAATTCACTCGTCGTGGTGAATTTGCACAGAAAGGTTTGCTCCTTTGGCAAGTTTGAATGAGCAGATTTGCTTTGGAAACAGCTACATTTTACTCAGTACTAGCTACAGCGAGTCAGTGCGCCCCCTGCTGACAAGTCCCTAGTGCGGCTCCTGAGCACTTCCAAAGTTTATTTTGTTCAGTAAACCGTGTCATATAAAATTAACAACCACCAATAAAATTAGCTTATATGTTTCAACTGTAAAAGTCCAAACCAAAGTAAAGCTCGTCTTCGTGGCGCTGGAGATCTCTAGCCTGGCTTCCCCGCGGCCGGACCAGGGTCCTTTTATCTAAAGCCCAGTGCACAAACATATAGCTTAATGTGACCAGTGTTCTTCCTTTTATTTCTTTCTCTATGGCAACCAATATGCTCTGCTCAGAAATGTTCCCCATCAAGGAAACAAATGATCTTCAGGGAGCAGCTCTACATGGCATCTGGTCCAGTGGAGCACAGAGAGTTAACCCCAGTCAAAAGCGAGGCTGCCAAGCAGTAAACAAGGAGTGGAAACCGGCGGATCTTAGCCCGCTCTCCAACTGCAGCCTCTCCCTCCCTCCTTACAAGCCATTTCACTGATTTGGCATCAACTGTTGCCAAAGAAACTACAAATTTTAAATCACAAGGTGTTCTGGATACAGAAGTGCAATAAAACTCTAGCCCTTTGACGCTACCCCCTCGTCATCCAGGCAAGGCTTCCTTTAAAAAGAACAAAACCAAGGAGCTTTGAGAATTCCCTCCAGCCTATTTCACAAAGGTAAGGTGCCCCCTCCGGCTTGGAACTGGCCGAGCCATTTCCTCCAGCCATATTTATCTAATTAACTGCATCTAGCAAGTAACTGCACCCTTAATTTTTACAAAACCCCCGGGCAGTGGCTAGGAGGGGCCAGGCCGACTGTCAATCTGAGAAACAGAGTAAGCCCAGCGTCCGATGCTCCAGCTCCAGCCGCTGGCAGTAAAGGGTAGGGTGCCCTGCTTAGTTTGATTGATCACCCTCTTCTGACCAATGTTCCACCAGAAGCTGGGAGCTGCCCAGCCGCCAGCTCCCGGCGGTGGTTCTAACCCGGGTGCAGGACTTCCTGCCTCTTCTTCCTCCCCTGCTTCCTCCATCTCCGGCCCTTTGCCCCCTTGCGGA